TTTGTTATGATTATTTTACTTAATCTTTTTTATAAATTTTAAATCTTATTAATTTAATTGTTTAATTATGTAATATTAATATGTTAATCACGTATATAAAAATTTATATAAATTAAACGTTTAATTAAATTAAAATTATTTAATGAACTGTCAAATGATTTTTAATTTTAGTAATTTTTTATATATTTGATATATTTATAAATAATTAATTTAATTAAAATATTATATATATATATATATATATATATATATAATCATTAAATGAAGTAACTTTTATTTTACTTTTTTTTTTTTTAAATTGTAAGTTATTTGAGTAGTCGAAACATGTTTTCTATGACTTGCTTCTCCACGTTGATGCAGGGTCTCCTTATATGAACCTAAAGTAATTGTTTTTTTTTTTAATATATCCTTTTTATTTTAATTTCTTATATTTTTTGTTACAGTCCTATTTCTAAAAAGTGACAGCAGTGATGGCATGACATTCTATTAATTATATTATTAGGGAAATTATATTTATATTTTTAAATTTTAACAAAATTTTACTTGATATTGTTTTTTTAATAATATTATATTTTGAATTCTCTCAATCCATATAACCGTATAAGAAATTAACAATGATTTATGTAATTAAAAATTGAATACAATATTATGTTATGTAAACTAAAAGTCATTTATAAAAGATAAAGTAAAAAAAAATAACAAATAAAATTTTGTTAAGTATTATGAAATGTGAGTATAATTATTCCATTATCAATTAAACATCTTTCAAAAGGCTTATCAAAATATTCTTCTTTTTTTTCAATGTTTTCTTTTATTTTTAGGACTTCTCTTAACTAAAATGATTGAATATTATTTTTAAGTTAAATTATATATTTAGTCTTTGTATTTGATACTTATTTATTATAAATTAGTTCTTATATTTAAAAAAGTTAAGTTTTAATTCTCATATAAGTATTTTGTTATATTTTAATGTCAATAATAAAAATAATTAAATCATAATAAAATACTCATATAAAGATTAAAATATTAATTATTTTAAATATAAAAACTAAAATGTATGTTTTTTTAAAGTATAAACTAATTTATAAATAAACTAAATATTGAAACTCAATATGTATTTTAATCAATTATAATTTGAAAATATATAATTTAAACTTAAATATCTTAATTAAGTCTGTATTTTTTATATGATACATCAATTTTTATAATTTTTAATATATATATATATATATAAATAAAATATTTATTATATTTAAGATGCGAAATTTACATTATTACTCAAAATTTTATAAAATCGTCTTCTTATGGTATAAGTATGCAATTCTTATATATCAACTCAAAATCTTATTAGTGGATCGTTTTGCTATTTTCTTTATCGAATAGATAAAAAAAAATTTAGATATACTATTTTTTGTCCTATTATATCAGCTCAAAAAAATTATATATATCTAAATTTTTTTTAACTGTGATAATTTTTTTTATTATATATAAATTATTCTTAGTATTTTATTAACAATAATTATTTTTTATTGATTTATATAGTTACCAAATTAATAAATTTTATTAATAAATATATATAATATTAAATAATAAATAATATTTGACTTAAATATATGTGTTCAGTATTTTTAAAATGTATTATTCTTTTATTTAGTTGCTCATTTTTAATTTTTCTAAACAAGTTTACTAAAAATATTTGTTTATTTTTGGGTAAAATATACTTTTAATCTCTAATTAACACATATTTATAAATTAATTAGTTCCTACACTTAAAAAAAATATTTTTTAATCTTTATATAACTATTTTATTATATTTTAGTCTCTTCCATTATAATGTCATTACGGCAAAGACTAAAATGTAAAATATAAAGACCAAAACATAACAAAACCTTCTTATAAAAAGTAAAATATAATATTTTTAAACATAAGACTACTTTGTAGACCAATGCCAATTATATGAACTAAATATATAATTTAATCTTATTTTTATGATTGTATATATTGAATTTTATATAATTTAAATATTTATAAATACATTATTTAAAACTAATATTTATTTATATTTTTAAAAAATATTATATGTTGAAATAAAGTAACATGATGAAATATTTATTATTTTTATAAAAATTAATTAATTTAATAAAAGTGTTTAAATGAATAGTTAAATTCATTAATCATATATTCTATAAAAGATTATTACACCTGGTTTTATGTATAAAGAGGGAGGTCGGTGTAGCCAGAGTAGAACGTTTATTCAAAAGGAAGTACTGCAGGCGAGATCAAACTGTTTTATTGATGACTTCCATGCAATATTTAAACTTCAAATTAAAATTGACAATTAATGTGTGTAATGTTTATAATTTCTATTCTTTTTAATCTTAAACATAGAAAACCTAGCATCCTTTACAAGTACCAGTGCGTATACATAACATTATCCTTTATTAATTCGCCAAGCTAGGTTACCACAAATGCAACTAGTTGCTTATTTGGTATAGAAAGAGAGTGCATACCCACAGCGATACTTGTTTTGTAACGTGATCCTTTATCTGAACACTGAATTGAGTTTGATTATCAAGGGATCTGTCCCATAACACAACTCCTCCGTAGTTGGAAGCTGCATCTGCTGCTGCTGGTAGTCCCATGTATACTAGGATGTGGGATCGAACGTACGATGAAAAAAGAAAAAAACCTATAGAAAAAAATGTTACAAAAGAAATGTAAAAAGAATACAAGATGTGTAAAAATTAAAATCCCTTTCTCTGTACCCAAATGTTCATTTTACTAGTGAGGATATATATATATATAAAGAAAATTTGAATGGAGAAAAATAAAATATAAGTCTGAAAAGGATATAAAAAATGAAGTGAAAGATCAAAACTCTTCGTTATATATATATATATATATTGAGAGTAAAGACAAAAACATTTAAAAATAATATTTAAAGACAATAATGTACTGCTTGCATAAAATTGTATGACTCGTAAAAAGAAGTCATATTATTAAATAATATTTATTTGAAGCAGGTTGTATATTAAAAACATATACGACATTTGTGTTTTAAACATTTTTCATATAAAATATGCAAATCGTAGATAGAGTATATCACTTATTGGTTATTTTAAAGATAACATGTTGTTGTAGGTAGTCCTATAATTCTAACACTTAACCTATCATAGAATTTAATAATTATTTGTCATACAGATTATTATTTTTCAACACCCCTCAACAAATATCTATAGTAGATCTGATGAAGTAACTTTTTGCTTCCTTTCATATTTGTCTATGTAAAATATTGAATTAAAAGTGAAAATAAATAAAATTTATTTATTTTTTATAATTTTCAATAAATTTTAAGAAATAATTAAAAATAATAATTGGTAACAATTTCTTTTGTCTTTATTTCAAGCAGATTTTTGGATTTGACACTTCTCGTAAGTCTATTTCTTTATTTTAGCAACACAGTACTCCTGGCTTCGTTCGTAATTATCTTCGATCTTTGCTGCTAGATTAAGCATTTTTAGGCCGAGTATGAGCACTAAATACTCAAATTGTATTAAGATCCCTTTTTATTTTATAATAACTTGTTTTATTTAATTGTTCTTGCAAGAAAATAATAAAAATATAAAAAAAAATGGGTAAATTTTAAAAAAAACATATAATAGGAGTTGCTGTGAAGTGGTAATGGTGCCAGAAACATTCACCTGAAACCCATACAGAGAACAAAAACACAGTGATATTGTACAACAGACACTTTGGTACAGAGAAAAATTGAATCCAAACACAGAGAACATAGGAGAGTCCCAAAAAAATACAATATTTAGCATCAAAGCTCAATCAAAACAAAAGCCAATAGTAATAGGACGCTCCTCAGACACAGATAGTTTCTGATGGACCTTTCTTCACAGCGAGCCCATTAATAAAATAATAAGAGTATTAAATATTGATTCTATAATAAAAATTGAATTTCAGCTTATTGAATGTCCATAAAAATTATTTATTATAAAGAATAATTACTTGTTAAATAAGTTTGAGTTTGATAGTGAATCAATTGTCATCCCTAGCTGGAAGCATTATTGTTGTTCAATCCATTCCTTTCCCAAAAACAATTAATGCTAGTTGATGCTTTTGTTTGCATGTAGTTAGTTGTAATGAAGCAATGGCCACGGATCTTCTCTCTCTCTCTCTCTCTCTCTCTCTCTAGTGAAAGTGATTGATTATATGTATAAATGTTGGGCAGCTAGCAGATTGATATGCATAAGAGCAGTGATAGTTATATAAATTATCCAGTTGGGTAGATCTTAATAATATGAATTATGATCATGTACTTACATTTGAATTAAATTGCCCTACCCGTATCAGAATTTGGATAGGGAATGCTAGAGACCTAAACGTGATATTATCTAAGGTTAAAGAAGAGTTCTATAGAAAATCATGCATGCTGATTGAATTAGATGATGTTATAGAGAGAGACACTTTGTATTTATAAAATGGAGTTAATTACCCACAATTAACTGACTAATCTAAAACTAATAAAATTAACAGATATAGATCTAACTTTAACAATGTAATTGAATTAAGCATACAATTACAACTTCCAAATTAGGTGATTTGCACGCATGACCTCTGTCAATCTGAATTCATTTTAAGTGAAATTTTACATATTTACGGCAAACATTAAGTTTGCGAAGTTCGCATTAAGAAAGTGTTAAATGGTAATTTTTTAGCATTTTTTTAAAGTTTAATGTTATGAATGGATTAACAAGATTATGGAACTTGTAATGGTAAAATAAATATACATCTATGTTTATTTGAATGTACATTCGAATAAACATATATATATATATATATATATATATATATATATATGTTATAAATATTATAATTATTAATAATAAATATTTTATTAAATTAAATAAAGAAAAAAAATTTAAAAAAAAATTATATTTATATTGAATAAAATAAATACATAATATGAAAATATTAATTGACATAATAAAAGAGAATCAAGTCTTATAAGTGTTTTTGATTGAGAAAGCTTTTAAAAATACTCTTTTAAGAATTTTTACTCATTATATATACTGATGTAAAGTGTCACCCCAAAATGTGCAATTATCAACATTGATTGATAAATAATGCGGCTTTCCAGTGTGAAGCAGCTCGTACGTCATCCTAGCAATGGTACATTTGCATCTCTACGCATCAATTTCTTCGAAGTCCCTCTAATTGCTTCCCACTTCTGAACCCCTCAGAGTTTGTATAATACATTTTACATCCTACTTTTAACTAAACTTTTTTTGGCTTTTTGCCGATCCTACAAAAATAAGAGACAAAAGTGCTACACTGAAAAACATTTTACTCTTCAATGAAATTCTGCAGACTGAAAATGGGACCAGTATTCCTTGACAAGCTTCCCGAACAACGATCCTTCTCTCTTCATCAAGTTCATTGGCTCATCATATTCCACCAGTTTTCCTGCAAAATACAGTCAGTTTTTCTTCTCCTTAAAAGATAATAACTAAAGAATCAAATGTTCAAGAACCTCAACTTTTACATCTTCATAATTTTGTGTGATCAAAACTAAAATGCTAAATGACAAAATCTACTATCTCATATTTTATTAACCTCTTTATCTAGACTCAGTGTGACCTACTCATCAACCAACCAATATTTTTTGTCGGTCAAACCATTTGGTATATTAGAATTATCATGGGGAAGAGATGAGGCACAGGGTAGTTAATATGCAACTTACCATCACTGATGGCAAGAACCTTAGTACTATCCATCACAGTTGGTATCCTGTGAGCGACCGTGATTACAGTACAATCTGCAAACTCAGTCCTTATAGTTTTCTGTAGAATCAAATCAGTTGCATTATCAATAGATGCAGTTGCTTCATCAAGCACCAATATCTGACTTCTTCTCAAAAGAACACGCCCCAAACAGAATAACTGTCGTTGTCCCATGCTCCAGTTTGCTCCAGCTTCAACAACTGTATAACAGTTTCTCCCTAGTTATTATTAATTAGACAAGAATTGGTCACACCAACATTATTACAGCAAAACTTTAAGCATACCTGAAGAGTCTAATCCCTCTTCTTTCTCTTGGACAGCCTCTTGCAACTGACATTTCTCAAGAACCTTCAAATAGAAACAAGAATTAGTTCACAATTACCATGGAAAGTAGAGATAAACAAACATTAAAGATTTTCCAAGATACTGAAAAATAATATATCATGCATTACCTGCCATATCTCTTGATCAGAGTATTGAGATAAGGGGTCCAAATTGTATCTGACTGTCCCATTAAAAAGAGTAGGATCCTGAGGTATAATACCAAAACGTGATCTTAAATCATGGAGTCCAATGGAGCAAATGTCAATGCCATCAACAATGATACTTCCACCTGCTGGCTCCACTAGACGGAATAAAGCACCTATAAGAGTGGACTTCCCACTGCCTGTGCGGCCAACAATACCAATTTTGTGCCCTCCTTCAAATGTGCATGTGATCCCACGGAGTACAAGTGGAGCATCTGGCCTGTAACGTATCTGTTTTGATTTCAAGAAGCAAATTATGTGCATCAGTTAAGTTTTCAACTCCCATTTTTCAGGACATTGTGCAGCTAGTTTTAAAATAGTAACAAATACCTGCAATTCATTTATTTCTACTCTACCAGCAACCGGCCAATTCACTGGAGGACGTTTTTCTTCTATTATTTCTGGGGCCTCACTTGGTATATGCATATATTGATTTAGCCTCTCCACTGATATTATATAATTTGTTATATAGCATTGATTTTGAATTGAATTTACCAAGGACATGTTAAGTGAAAGGCCGTAAGAGAGAGCCATGCCAATAAATCCTGAAATAACACCATATGTTGAAATTATGATACTTGCATGGGACCAGCTACTTTTGACGAACACTATAAGTGACATTTCAAAGGTAATAATGGAATAATTCTCACCGGAAGCAAAAGTTCCAGGTGGAAGGACAACCATGCAAAGTGCCGTAGATGCAAGAACAACTGCACTGACTACTTCTAACCGTTGAATCAACCACTCATTTGCTGCAAAACTGTGAAAGAAAGGACTAGCATTGACATCAATTAGCTCAAGATTTTTCACAAAAAATCGATCTTCCTCTTCAAAAGCCCTTATTGTCACAGCTCCAGCAACAGATTCAGCAAGATGGTTAGCTACAAAGGATTTTGTTGTGCCATTCATCCGCATCAGTTCTTTTGCAGAGGCAAAGTAATATCTCTATATAAAAGAAATTATTAGTTTAGTATGCCTGCTTTCCAATGAGTACATTTCAAATCTATGAAAAATGATTGCAACATTACCAAAAGAAAAAGAAAAAAGCACCTCCATGTTAACAATGAATGTGTCCCTTGCCCTTTTACTTTTGAAAGATGATAATGAAACCTTGATACTTACATGCAATAGATGAACTTAAAATAAATTGGCATGAAATAAAATTAAAATGTAAGCTTTCATTTGTCAAACATTAAAATAAAAAATATGTATCATGTTTTTACTTCTATTACTTTAAGCAAATAGCAAGTACGAAAAGCAACATATGTGCAAATACTAATTCTGTATTCCATTTATTTCCCTGGTAAACAGAACTTCCTGTGTATCAATGTCTGATTGCCCGTCTCCTGTACAAATTTTTCCTTAATTTGTAAGTCAAACCCTGACTGAATCAGACAATTAGCTATTCTTAAAAACTTGAAAAATTTTCCAAATAAAATAGTTTCAAAAGCCTTCACTGTCCAAAAGTACAGGTACGAAGTCAAATTTTATGTCATGCATGCATTTTGTTGTCAAAACCACCATTGCGTGGTTAAATAATGTCATTCTCTAATTAATTTAAAAGCAACACTAAGTTATCACTGCAATGTAATCTAAAGAAGAATTTGCTTATTACCTGCAGGCGAAGTGCGAAACAAATCATTGGTATGGAGACAAACAAGATTTGCCAAGTAACAACTGCTAAAACTGTAAGATTGGCAAAAAAAGTCGTAGTAGCTGCTACAGCAAAAACAAGGCTGAATGGAACATCAAGGTCCACAATGCTGACATCTGAGGAGACCTAAACAAGGAAATAATAGTCAAAACATTAGAGCTTCCATTCATTGCATTACAATGTGAGAGGAAAGAAAAACCTATTTAAGATGCATACCCTACTGAGTATCCGTCCTAAAGGAGTGGAGTCATAAAATGACATCGGGGCACAAAAAAGGGAGTTCAGCAGTTGTAAAAAAAGAGATTTTGATGATTGAATACCCAAAGCAACTGTAACAAGACTTCTCGTCAACAAGAATATTAATGAAATAACTCCAATGATCAAGTAAACTAGAATCAACTCCAAAGTGCTGATTCGAGGATTGTCAACATTAGCAGCCATCCATGAGTTCTGCAATATTTGGCCAACCACAAATGTAAGATGAGACAGAGCAGCCACAGAGAAGTATATATATCCTTTGTTCTGATTTAGATATTGTAAGTAAGGTTTGAACCCTTGATCTCCTTTCTCTCTCTCTTCTTCCTTAATCAATTGATCACCTTTTGATGCTTCTGAATGCTTTTCCACATGTGTTTTCCGAATTTCTCTGGAACTATTTAAATGTCTCTGGGAAGAAGTAACATCCACAAGCCGGTCAGAACCAGCAGTTTCTTTGTGGGCGTTCACAAGGTCCTGAAATTCTTGGCTTGTGCTCAACAAATGGTGATAAGAAGCAGATTGTATGATTTCTCCATCTGACATTAACTATAAAGAGGAAATAGTTACGCCTATGCTAATTTTCTGTTGGCTAAAGATAACATGAAAAAATCATTACTTTGAATTCATTAAAAATTTTCAACTATTGATTTTATGCAAACAAAAAGAAATTGAAACGACAATGACACAACCAGTGCTTTAAAATGAAGAAATTACCAAAACAGAATCAAATGCTGGAAGGAAATCAACTTGATGAGTCACGAGCAAGACTGTCTTGCCAGCAAGTCCTTCCATTATGTATTCCTATCCAGTTGAAAAGCCATCTATCAGTAAAAAGCATATAATGCAAAGATATAAATGTAGCATCTAAAGAAAAGAAGTTTTCATTACATTAAACAAATTTGTTGCAGTATGCGCATCAACAGCACTAAATGGATCATCCAAGAGATATATATCAGCATTTTGATAAAGTGCACGGGCAAGTTGAATTCGCTGCTTCTGACCTCCACTCAGGTTAACCCCTCTCTCCCCTATTTCCGTGAGATCACCGTAGGGAAACAACTCAAGGTCCTTCACCAATGATGACCTATGAAGCGTTTCTTGATACTTTTCAGCATCCATACTTTTTCCAAACAATATATTCTCCCGAATTGTACCTGTCGGTATCCATGCTGTTTGAGAAACATAGGCAAACTTCCCGTAAACTTCAATCTGCAATTCAGAAAAGATAGTTAGATACCTATTAATATAATAAATTAACAATATTACTACTCTAATGAAGGAGAGAAAAATGCATTCCAGTAAGTTGAATTAATGTGCTACGTATTATAGAACAGTTGTCGAAAGTGCAAATGTCATCCAAGTTATAACCAATGAACATATCACAATTTACCAAGTTTGTAATATTAAAAAAGGAATGAAATCTTACTGTCCCACAAGTATTAGGAACTTCTCTGAGAATTGCTGCTAAGAGCGTTGATTTGCCTGAGCCAACCTCTCCACAAATAGCCACCTTTTGCCCAGGTCTAACATCCAAATTTATGTTTCTCAGGGTTGACTTTGATCCATTCTCTTCCCATGAAAAGTCAGAAGACTTTATTACAATTGAACCCTTCATATTTTCATTAGGGCATCTTTTTCTGACATTTGCACTCTGCAGCTCAGGTGCCTCCAGGAATTTTACAATTCGGGAAAATGCAACTTTGGCCTGAATAACCATCCCAATAACATCAGGGATGGTTCTAACTGGATCTTGAACAAGGCGCAAAGTTGCCACAAAAGTGAAAACATTATTTGCATGTAAAGGAACATTGAGAAAGTAACATGCCCCAAAAGTTGCAGCAGAGACCAAAACAGGGGAGCACCAAAAGAGAAAGCTGTTGTATGCCTTTCTTAGTTGCACTGCAGACAACCATTTGAGCTCTACATTTCTTAATCTTTCTATAGCATTCCTAAAATTGGTTTCCCACGCATACAACTTCAACACCTTCATATTGACGAGAGCTTCAGAACAAGCCTTCAATCTCTCATCTTGTGCCCCCATAAGTTTGCTTTGAAACTTGTGTTGTAACTTTGCCAGTGGAGTATTGCAAAGCACTGTGATTATTATCACCACCAAGGAGGCAAGTGTAGCTAGCCCAACAGCACGGAAAAGTACTACTAATGAGATACACAGCTGGAAGCTAGTTGTCCAAGTTTGGTGAAACCAATAGGGAAATTCACCAATTCTATAAGCATCCACGGTCACATAATTCATTATCTCACCACCAGAGTGCATCAATCTAGCAGAATTGGATAATCTTAGTTGCTTTTTATAAATTGCTGCAGTTAGCAACGATCTAACTTTCAAACCAATAAGTCTAGAGCGGAAGTACCACTGCCTTTGTGATAGGGATTCTATGGTTTTTGTAAAGAAAAGTGATATGGCCAACACAAAACCTTCATATTTGAAACTTCCATTACCCTCTGCAACCAATATAAAAGAATTTAGAAGCAAAGGTCCAGAAGACAAAGCAAGAACCTTAAGCATTGCAAAGAATCCTGATACTAAAATTTCTTTCCAATGGCATAAAATTATTGTCCTCAAAACTGATGCCTGTGAGGATGGATCTTTCTGTTTTTGTCTGTTCAATTGGTCCAAAAACAACAAATAACAATTTTCTGTTCGATCCTCCTCGCGTAACCTTGGGATGTCTTCATCCTGAAGTGTTTTCTGTTTACCTTTTTTCATCAATGGATTCAACCACCAAAATGACATTCTGTTAAAGAATCCAGCTTTGGCAAATAGGGTTACATAATCAACAGAACCATTTTTATTGTTGTCACCATTTAAAGGGGCATAAAGGCTTTCATCAACTTCTCTGTCAGTGTTCTTACACACGGTTTCCTTATATGTGAATAATAGCAAAAATACTGCCCCTGGAAAAGATATAACATCTAAAGCTATCTTAAGCGACAGTTCTCTGCTACTAATTGTATAAAACAAGGATAATGCACAAGAAATACCAGAAACCAAGAAGAATAGAATAGAAAAAATCCTTGACCATGCTCTTGGAAGTTGTTTCAACTTCAGGCTTATTGTTAAACCCACTAGCAACCATGTCAATCCATGAAAGATTTCTAGCAACCACCAGTTAAGGGGCAATGCAGTTTGGGTTTTCCTCAACTTCTCCTCTAAGACCCAAATGCCTAAACACAAATGCACCAATCCAAAAGCACCATTGGCTATAGCAGAAACTAGCTGCAAATATGAATGTCTTCGCACCCGTGATAGACCATGACATGGTTTTAATGTTGATTTCTGGATCATAATAAATAAGAGCATGACAAGCATCAACACATCAAAGCAGGAGATTAACAAATGGTTGATACAAGTAGAAGGATCAATAAGAAACTTAAAATCATATCTACAGGGTTTTCTTCCATCCTCTGAACAACTAAATTCCCCACAAAATACACTCCAAAAGCCTGCCATTTTCCTTGTCTTTTCTTGGCCGCTCAAACTCTGAGAAAACATAAAGAGCGACAACATCATGCATTTGTTGACAAAATCTTAGTCCCTAAAACTTGGAAATTAAATTAAACCCATAAATAGTTTATCAACAAGCTTTAGCGAAAAAAAAAAAAAAACACTTGAAAGCATGTCCCTAATTAAGTTTATCTTTTTTAAGAATAAAAAGACAAAAGATATAAAGCATAGACAAGAATGAAAAAAATGTATATTAATTTTACATCTGACAGTGTGAACAATTTTCTCTTACAAGTTATAATGAAGATTCTTACACAGAGAAAAGTTAATTTGAAAATACAAATCTGCACATAGTGTTGTCACTTTTCACCAGCAACAAATAGTAGATATGATGGCAAATCATAATGAGCAACACCGAGTGCTTCTGGGAAGTAACTTCTCTCAGAGAACTTCCAATGCATCATGCAAAGCCACTGGAGAACTAATTTGAGCTTTTTCACTGGTTATTACTCTCTGGAAAAACGCTAGCACTACAGTACTACCCTTTATAATACATTTTTATTGTTAATTGACACTTATTAAAATCTAATATATTGTTCCACTAGATTTCAACTAAAAAAAAAGAGTATTAAAGTAAGTGACACCATACTGTCAGGATTTCCTTGTTGAGTAATAATCAATGAAACAGTTGATATCACACTTTCCAATTCGCATACTTATTATAATTTTATAAGTCTGAATAAATTCCAATTAATAATAAAAAAATATGTTAAAAAAGAGGTACACGCTGCAATTTCCATGTTCAGTGACTAAGGCCAAGACAGGTTGGTGAGAGAGACAGCAAATAAAAAATCACTACACTCCACACAGAAGATGCTGAGGAAGAATCTAGAGACTTAGGCACGTTATCAAAGAAACATGGAAAAAAAACAAAAACAAAGCCTTGTAGCTTTATGGCTTGAGCATGACTGGGGCTGGCACTAATGAATGGAAGATCTAAACATTGAACTGTTTATTATAATAAAGGTTTTTCTTAAGATGCGCCTAAAGTTACTGAATAATAATAATAATAATAATAATAATATTTTTATTAAAAATTATAATATTTAAAATGATTAACACATTAAATTTTATAACATTCATAATTTTTAATAAATTAAGAATACCAGAATGGCAAGCGAGTTATTTAATCTAATACATAATTTATATAACAAAAGGCGAAAAAATAGGGAATTAACAAACCAGAGGGTTGCGAAGCTTCTTCTTCTTACGATTGTGTAAGTGTTGTTCGGCAAATGCAAGATACGTAAACGATGACGTTTTGTTTAAGGATTGCAAAAGTTGACAGCGAATGAATGGAGATGAAGAAGAAGAAGAAGGTGGCGAGTGGCATTGCACGGGGCAATACAATGGCCATAACTGCATATATATGACGACAACTAAGGCACGATGTCGTCATGGCTCACGTCTCTTGTTATGTTTTTTCTTTCTCTACACTCGAGTCACTGGATCACGATTAAAATACTTTTCCCAATATCATTTTTTAGTCTCAAATGTTTGTTAGAATTACCATAAACGATAGTGTTTATAAAATCTATTCTTTTAATTTAATATTTGTATTAATATTTAATTTTAATAGTTAATATTTACTTATAAATTATTTTTATATAAAAAATTTACATTTTTGTTAGTATATAAGAATTTTGTAACATTTTTATTTTTGTTGTTACATAATTAAAAAATTATAGACGTAAATTAATAAAAATAATGAAATAAACAATATTTTTATTTATTATGTTATAAAGATTAAAATATTACATTTTTAAATATGTGAATTAATTTGTAAATGAGTGTTAGCTATATAAAATAAATATACAATAAGTGTTTAATTTTTATAATTATTTTTAATTTAAAGAATCTTATAATTTTAATTTAGTTTCATTTAATATAGTAAAATACTTATTAATAATAGAAATATTTTCTAAGTTATAAACTTATTAATTTTAAAATAGTAATTTAATTTGCTTATAAAGATTACTAGTTAAATTAAAAATGCATCGACAATTGACATTTGACTCCAGCAAACGACAATCAAATTTAATATGATTGTGTAAAATTATTGTAAGAGATAGATTAAAATAAACGTGTGATTAACGGTGTAATGAAAAAATTAAATATAAAATTACAAAATTTGTGCTGATATGATTGTACAAATTAAGACTGCATTGAAAACTGTTTATTATTATTTTAATCAAATTAATATAATTTTATCTTTAACACATTGTTGATATAATTACATTATTTAATAAATTTGACTTGTATGTGGTGTAACGGGTGGATGGAGATTCACTTGCTCTTAGACAAAGTTTTGGTGAGTGTCTGTAGAGAAAGGGGAAGAGATGGGAAGCCCAACTTCACTTATTCAAAGAATATTTTTTTTGTAAATTTAATTTTATTAATTTAATTATAAAAATAGATGTTATCGTTGAAACTTTATTAAGATAAATTTAAAAATTGGCTTAATCTTTAAAATTTTAAAATATCATTCTCTACATTTAAATAATGTCTTTACGGAAAAAAAATATTTTAATTATTTTTTATTTTTCACTCATAAAAAGTTAATATTAAAAGTTTTTATATATGTAAGTAATTAATAATTCATAAATTAAATTTCTTTTAATAAATAATATATTTTTTAAAATATAAGTGAATGACAATTGTAAAATAATATGTTTTAAAAGTAATTTATGCTCGATTACGGTGTGTCATGCATCAGCATCATGAGTGGTGGACCTTTGTGGTTGGATTATCATAGAAAGTTTGTGTCAAAGTCTGGTACGCCTCTCGGAAATCAAAGTCAGCCACCTGCATGCCTGTGTCAAATACTGTATGTGTATATAAAAGTTGTGATCGGCTATAAATTTAAATATTTATATTATTATATATTAAAATATAATTTAACCTAATTTTATAAAATCTATGTAATTTTAAATTATAATAATTAGTATATTTAAATTTATTTTATATCTAACATATGATATAAATGTTAATTCTACAAATTAAATTCTAAAAATTTTATAGAAAATATCAAATTTAATTTAATACGAGTATTTATTTATTTGAGATGTTTATATTACCCCAGTTTTGATAGTAAAGTAACGTCACAAAACGAACAAAAAACAATTGCAGGAACTCTATAAATCGCAATAATTTGAAGAATTTTATGTCTGAATATTTTTTTAAAATAAAATTTTATTATTAATTTAAAATAAATTATATTTATAAAATATTTTAATTAAAATTAATAATAAATAAAATTTGATTTTATAGTTTGAAAATATATTATTTTTGTCGTTACCTTTTTTGAATCCCCGGGCAGGTTTATTATTTATATGACCAGAATATCGTATATTGTCATGCCTTTAAAAAAAGGCGACCAAAAAAGTCGTTTTGGTATTATTTAACATTTATTTGTTTTCATTAAAACATATTATTAAAGGGTTGCCACTTTCATAATAGCGCCTACCTACGTGGTAATTAGTTCAAACTAGTTACGTAAAGGTTTTGTTTTCTTAAAGAGTGAGTATAAAGATAGAGGTTGAATTATGACGTCACAATATTTATTATTTAATTTATAATTTTTATAAATTATTTTAATATATCATTAAATTATTTTGTATAATTAATTTAAATTTATTTTATTAATTTTATGGTTAAATTTAAAATATAAATTATAGTTTTAAAAAATTAATTATTTAGACAGATCCTAATATGGTGCAATATGTGGGTAACGTAAACAAGCAGTGTAGTGTCGTTGCCTAGCTTCAGCGTCAAGCTTCCGCTGACTTGTCAGTCAACAAGTTGAGTTGCAAGTCCAATGGCTGCTCTCTTATAGAAGACAATTTAATTAAATACTTATTATTAAATAAATATTTATTTTATAAAAATTGTGAAGGTTTATAATATAAATTTAATTACACTTTTTTTTAAAATAAATTTTAAAAAGTTTATAGAAGTTCTAAACTATTTTCTTTAATTCTTTAATATTTTTTTTCAAACATATCCTAAATGGAAGAGGAGGCGCATGTGAGAGAAGAAAAGTTAGTTTGGGTAACTGAAAAGCAAAAATACATGATTGTTCATAGTTTAAAGTGATTTTAATAAAAAAAATTTGGCGTCAATAAAATATAAAATTTTCTAATCAACACATGAATATGTTCGAGGTTAATAATACTCATTATTAAAATATAAAATAATATGTTATAAAATTACAAGTTTCTTTCAAAATTCTAAGATTGCATATTTGTTTGCATTTCAAAAAAGAATTTTCTCTTTTCAAAATAAAAAATATATTTATTTTTTATTTAAAAAAAACTCTTTTTAAAAATCAAACAAACATACCTTAAAATTTCTTTTACTCATCTTTCTACCATAAATAAAACCAATCTTTTGCTTTTAAAGTATCACTTCGATGATATTCTCTCTTTACATTTTATTGCATTCCAAACATAGGTATTGTACAGTTAAATATTTGTTTGACACATTTGGATGGTTTATTAATTTGTAGTGAAAATTGAAGCTTTTTGGTTTCTAACATTCAAGATCCAAAGGTGCAAGGGCCCAATTTCATTTTGGCAAGAATCTTGACCCTTTTACCCCTCTAATTCGTTTCCTACAACATGGTTAATTTGTTCATGTGTAACACATTTTACATACCTTTCTTCAGTTCTTGGATTCTTGAGCAGAAAGAGACTCAAGGGCTGCATCAAAAATCATTTTCCAGCTTCAGTGTTCCTGCAGGCTGCAAATTTGACCAGTACTTCTTGACAAGTGGCCTAGGCACCAATCTTTCTCTCTACATCATGTTCATTGGCTCATTACACACTAACACTTTTCGTGAAAACACCATCACACAATATTCTTTTTCTTAAAAAAAAAAGATAAAGAAAAGTTTTATCAACATCTTTTATGTGATGGAAGTTTGAATGTGAAACCATCAAATCTTGTGGTTTCACAATTTTGCAAAATGTTAAACAATTTTTCTAATGCACGAACAACAACACACGATAATAAAATAACAAATAATAATATTTTATTAAAAATATAATATTTAATGTCAATACATTAAATTTTGAGTTTTTATATACAAATTTAGCATATGTAAGTTCTTATTTTGTGTTCGAACGCGTGTTTGATCGAATTTAACTATATTGTCCAAGGTTCGGTTTTTTTTTTTTTTTTTGGAGATATATAATTGACATTAGCATTTGAGTGTGGCATGTTTTTTCAGTTATTTTAGTGTTGATAAGGTTAAATATTTTTGTCATAAGTTTGAATAGTTTATTCAATGGTGCTAAAATATCACAGTTTTCAGTTTGTGACTCCCAAGTTTCTCAGGTATAAAGGCCTAACATATTTTTGGTGGGGACCTTGGCCTTTTACTATCTTATTCCTTTCCTACATCCCAAGTTCTTGGATTCTTGTTAATAATACAATGGAAATTGACAAAAGGGTTGCACAATTTTTTTCCCAGCTTCAGTGTGATTCTGCAGACTGCAAATGAGACCAGTATTCCTTAACAAGCTGTCCAAACAACGATCCTTCTCTCTTCATCAAGTTCATTGGCTCATCATATTCTACTAGTTCTCCTGAAAATACAATCACACAATTCTCTTTTTCTTAAAAGAAAGCCACAAGATGGTAAAATGTTTGTTCACATAATTCACATCTTTGTGCTATAGAAGTTCAAATGTGAAGCCAACTGGATAATATCTCATTGGTTCACAATTTTGTGTGCTAAAAGTTAGAATGCTAAATCAACTACATCATATTTTATTGCCCTGCTTTAAATGTATTTTCTGTCAAACCAAATGGTATATTTATATTAGAATTCTTATGTGGGCTAAAGAACTAGCTGATTTGTAACCTTATTTTGTTAACTTGCTAGAACATGATTGTTTTGAGGTCAACAATCAACATTACCAAGATCTATGTATTAATAAGAAAAGAATAATAGCAATTAGAGAAGGGGTAGCTAAGATGAAAACTAACCATCATGGATGGCAACAACCTTAGTGCAATCCATCACAGTTGGTATTCTGTGGGCTACTGTGATAACAGTACAATCAGCAAACTCAGTCCTAATTGTTTTTTGCAGAATCAAATCAGTAGCATTGTCAATTGATGCAGTTGCTTCATCAAGCACCAAAATCCTACTTCTCCTCAAAAGAGCACGCCCCAAGCAGAATAACTGGCGTTGTCCCATGCTCCAGTTTGCCCCAGCTTCAACAACTGTATAACAGTTTTGCCACTAGTCATTAGTTAATTAAACATGAATTGACACCTACAATGTTGTTTCACCAAGGCTTCAAAGTCTACCTGATGAGTCCAGGCCCTCTTCTTTCTCTTCAACAACTTCTCTCAGTTGACATTTCCCAAGAACCTTCATATGAAAGCTACAATTAGTCCACTTCTACTCTATGAAAAGCAAGAATATATTAACAGAAAGATTTCCTCTTCCTATTAAGTACTACCTTGGTTTCTATTTATCTGTCTTAAGAGAGAAAAGAGATTATACAAACCAAGGACTGCAATCATTCTGTTAGAATTCTTTGGTAATCTTCCTAATTTTACCTTTTATGATGATTTTTTTTTTTCGACTTTTGAGCTATTCAACTAGTATAAATGCTTTATTTATTATACTTTGGTGGTAAAAGGGTATTAGTGAAATAATAACAACCAATATTGTGATGAACTTTTGTATGGACAGAGAAATACAAACATTTTTTCCTTTTCTCTTTGACCAGATAAATAGGAACTGAAGTAGTATTAACCAGAATACAGGCTGAAAAACAAGTTATTAATAGTTATTACCTCCCATATATCTTGATCAGAGTGTTGAGATAAGGGGTCTAAATTGTATCTAACTGTGCCATTAAAAAGAGTAGGATCCTGTGGTATTATACCAAAGCTTGACCTCAAATCATGAAGTCCAATAGAAGAAATGTCTATGCCATCAACAATGATTTTTCCACCTGCTGGCTCCACTAGACGAAATAAAGCACTAATAAGGGTGGACTTTCCACTGCCTGTTCTGCCAACAATACCAATTTTGTGGCCTCCTTCAAATGTGCATGTGATCCCTCGGAGCACAAGCGGGGCATCAGGCCGGTACCTTATCTATTTTGGTATCAACAAACAAATTATGCATTTCATTTCAACTCCTAATTTTTTAGACCTTCATACCACAAAAGTATTACAAAAACTTGTAGTTTAGACTGTTTTAGTTAATTACCTGCAAATCATGTATTTCTACTTTTCCCTCAACAGGCCAATTCACAGGAGGACGATTTTCTTCTATTACTTCTGGGGCCTCACTTGGTATATGCATATATTGATTTAGCCTCTCCACTGATATTATTTGATTTGCTAAAGTGCATTGGTTTTGAATTGCAAATACTAGGGTAGCGTTTAATGAAAGGCCATAAGAGAGAGCCATGCCAACAAATCCTAGAATAAGAGAGACAATGTTATATAGTTTGACCAAAAAAATATGATTTGTAAGACACCAAAGTTGACATGAATTTCAAATATACAATGAAAAATGAAATCTCACCAGAGGCGAAAGTTCCAGGTGGAAGTACCACTATGCAAAGTGCTGCGGATGCAAAGACCACTGCACTAATTGTTTCTAACCTTAGCATCAACCACTCATTTGCTGCAAAGTTATGAAAAAAAGGACTGGCATTGACATCAATTAGAGTAAGATTCTTTGCAGAAAAACGATCCTCCTCCTTGAAAGCCCTTATTGTCACAACTCCAGCAATAGATTCAGCAAGATGATTAGCTACAAAGGATTTAGTTGTGCCATTCATCCGCATCAATTCTTTTGCAGTGGCAAAGTAATATTTCTACAAAATAAAATTCTTCGTAAGCTTTATTGCCAAGAAAATTTTTCTAATTAAACAAAGTTCATAAACTTGAATTGTCCAATGATACTGACATAACATGTATTCATTTGCTGTCAAACATAAGCATTGGTTGGTTAAATATGATAGCTTTGCCAATGTTAATTTCATAAAGCAGGCACCAAATACTTACAGTAATATAAATTAAAGAAGAATATGCTCAATACCTGCAAGAGAAATGCTATATAAAGCATTGGTATAGAGATAAACAAGACTTGCCAAGTAATTGATGCTATGACTATAAGATTTGCATAACAAGTTATCGTGGCTCCCACAGCAAAGATAAGGCTAAAGGGGATATCAAGATCAACAATGCTTAAATCTGAGGAGACCTAAACAAGGAAACAAAAGCCAAATATTAGCACTTCCACTGCATTTTAGTGCAAAGGAAAAAAAAAAAAACAGACTATTTGGTATGTTTACCCTACTAAGTATCCTCCCCAAAGGTGTGGAGTCATAAAAGGACATAGGTGCATGAAAAAGGGAGTTCAGTAGCTGTGAAAATAAAGATTTTGATGATTGAAGACTCATAGAAACTACAACAAGGCTTCTGATGAGCAAGAAAAATGCAGAAATAAGCCCAATCAACAAGTACACAATAATCAATTTCAAGGTGCTGATATATGGACTGTCAACATTAGAAGCCATCCATAAGTTTTGAAGTATTTGGCCAATCACAAATGTGAGATGAGAAAGTGCAGCCACAGTGAAGTATATGTATCCTTTATTCTGATTCAGATACTGTAAGTGAGGCTTGAACCCTTTGTCTCCTCTCTCTCTCTCTTCTTGCTTAATTAACTGACCTCCTTGTGATGCTTCAAATTGGTTTTCCATATAAACTTTCCTAATCTCTAGAGTTGTATTTGAATGTTTTTTGGAGGAAGTAACATCCACAAGCCTGTCAGAACCAGAAGTTTCCTTGTGAGCATTGACAAGGTCTTTAAATTCTTGGCTTGAGCTCAATAGATGATGGTAAGGTGCAGCTTGTATGATTTCTCCATTAGACATCAACTGAAAATAAAGATCATGTCGTGTCCATTCATCACTTTGAAATCACTAATGTGCAGTCATTAATTAGATGTGGGAGAATAACAAGAAATAAAAATGACATAACCAGTGCTTTAAGATTAGGAAATTACCAAAACAAAATCAAAGGCTGGAAGGAAATCAACTTGATGAGTCACAAGTAAGACTGTCTTTCCAGCAAGTCCTTCCATGATGTATTCCTGTGATGTTTCAAAGATTTCCATCACCAAAAAGCAAATATAAATCTAGTGTTTGAAGAATAAAAGTTTTCATTACATTAAACAAATTTGTTGCAGTATGTGCATCAACAGCACTGAATGGATCATCCAAGAGATATATATCAGCATTCTGATAAAGAGCACGAGCAAGTTGAATTCGCTGCTTCTGGCCTCCACTCAAGTTAACCCCTCTCTCCCCTATTTCAGTGAGATCACCATAGGGAAACAATTCAAGGTCCTTCACCAATGATGACCTATGAAGTGTTTCTTGATATTTTTCAGCATCCATAGTTGATCCAAACAATATATTCTCCCGTATTGTACCTGTCTGTATCCATGCCGTTTGAGAAACATAGGCAAATTTCCCATAAACTTCAATCTGTAATTCAAAAAAGATAATTAAATATCTATTAATACAATATCATTGCCACTAAATGAATGATAGAAAAAAGCGCTCTAGTAAGTTGAATTTATTTGCTAATTGATGCTGGAACAAAAAGTGGCAATGTCATTCAAGTTAAAACCAGTTACGGTATCACAAGGTTTTGCAGTGTTTTCTATAAGCATACAAGAGAATAAAACTTACAGTTCCGCGAGTATTAGGAACTTCTCTGAGAATTGCTGCTAAGAGAGTTGATTTGCCTGAACCAACTTCTCCACAGATAGCCACCTTTTGCCCAGGTCTAACATCCAAATTTATGTTTCTCAATGTTGGTTTTGATATGTTATCTTCCCATGAAAAGTCAGCGGAATTGATTAAAATTGAGCCCCTCATGTTGTCACTAAAACACCTCTTCTTGACATTTTCACTTTGTAGTTCAGGTGCCTCAAGAAATTTTATAATTCTTGCAAATGCAACTTTTGCTTGAATGACCACACCAATGACATCAGGGATAGTTCTAATAGGATCTTGAACAAGGCGCAAAGTTGCCACAAAAGTGAAAACGTTGTTTGCATGTAAAGGAATATTAAGAAAGTAGCACGCCCCAAAAGAAGCAGCAGAGACCAACACAGGTGAGGCCCAGAAGAGAAAGTTGCTATATGACTTTCTTAATTGCACTATTGACAACCTTTTTAGCTCTACATTCCTTAACCTTTCAATAGCATTTCTAAAATTGGTTTCCCATGCATATAACTTCAAAACTTTCATGTTCACAAGAGCCTCAGAACTAGCCTTCAATCTCTCATCCTGTGCCATCATAAGTTTTCTTTGAAACTTATGTTGTAGCTTAGCAAGTGGAGTGTTGCATAGCACAGTTAGAATTATCACCACCAATGAGGCAATTGTTGCTAGCCCAACAGCACGGAAAAGCACTACTAACGCAATACATAATTGAACACTTGTTGTCCATGTTTGGTGAAACCAATAGGAAAATTCTCCAATTCTATTAGCATCTACATTCACATAGTTCATTATCTCACCACCAGAGTGCATCAATCTTGCAGCATTGGATAACCTCAGTTGCTTTTTATAAATTGCTGCAATAAGCACTGATCTAACTTTAATACCAATAAGTCTGGTGCGGAAGTACCACTGCCTTTGTGATAGGGATTCTATGATCTTTGTAAAGACTAGTGATATGGCCAATAAATAACCTTCATATTTGAAATTCTCATGACCCTCAGCAACCAATATAAAGGAATTTAAAAGCAAAGGACCAGATGAGAGAGTGATTACCTTAAGCAATGCAAAGAATCCTGATATCAAAATCTCTTTTCGGTGGCACATAATTATTGTCATCAAAACGGATGGTTGTGATGATAGTTCTTTTTGTTTCTGTCTATTCAATTGGTCTAGAAACAGCAAATAACAATTTTCTGCTTTATCTTCCTCCCCCAAATCTGGGATGTCTTCATCCTGAAGAGTTTTTTCTTTACCCCTTTTCATCAATGGATTCAGCCACCAAAATGACATCCTACTAAGGAGTCCAGCTTTTGCAAATAATGTGACATTACTGATAGAGTCACCTTTGTTGGACTCATCATTTAAAGGTGTATATAGACTTTCATTATTTTTGCAGTCAGTGTCCTTGTACTTAGCTTCCTTGTAAATGCAAAATAGCAATAAAATTGCCCCGAGAAAAGATAGTACATCTGAAGTTACTTTCAGGGACAGTTCTCTACTACTAATTGCATAAAACAAGGACAAAACAAAGAGAATACAAGAAATCAAGAAAATTGCAACAAAAAATAGCAGTAGCCATGCTCTTGGAAGTTGTTTTAGCCGAAGACTTGTATAACCAACTAACAACCATGTCAATCCCTGAATGAATTCTAGCAACCACCAATGAAGAGGCAAAGGGGTTTGGATTTTCCTCAGATTCTCCTCTAAAAGCCAAATGCCTGTGCACAAATGTAACAACCCAAGAGAGCCATTGGCTATGCCAGACACTAGTTGCAATTTTGAATGACTTTGCATCCAAGTTAGACCCTTGAAGGGTTTCAGTGATGACTTTTGAATGATTGTAAATAAGATCATGATCAGCAGCAAAACATCAATGCACATGAACAACAAATGGTTGACACACGAGGAAGGATCTGTCGAAAACTTAAAATCATCATCGCAAGGATTTTTTCCTGTATCTGAACAACCGGATTCCCCACAAAACATCCTCCAAAATCCTTCCATTGTCTTTGCCCACTATTTTCTACTCAAAGCCTCACTACGTATTCTGTAAAATAAAATAGCCAAAAAGAAAATTATGCCTTCAATTTTCAGAGAAATACCCTTAAACTTGGAAAATATTAAACCAAAAAACAAATAATCAATAAGCTCTATCAAAAGAAACACACGTGAAAACATCACAAAAGAGTAAAAGAAGATGTTAACATTGACAACAAAGGACAATGCAAGTCTATAACAATTCACTCTTAGCATGTGTGAATTTGCTTAATTTTGAGAGAAATTTCCATTTTTCATTTTCAAAGTTCAAGTTAAGATTTTAATTGTAAACTCTCTTGAACACAAAATAATGTAATCCAAACAACACACGCTAAAACAATTAATATGGAAAGGCACATTTTCATATAGAGTTGTACTTATACACCAACTACAAGGAGCAGTAGATATAAGCATGGCATGCAATCTCAAACACAAAGAGCAACAAGTGTTTACAAGAACCCTGAACACTGTGTCTTAACTTCTGCGAGAGTCTTTTTAACACATGCAAAGCTACGAGAACGATTTCAGCATCATCACACTGAACGATTATGATCCAGTCCAAGGCAAGTTGCTGACGCACACAAAAGCATTCACTTGAGAAAGAAAACGGGTAGAAAGGGAAGAATCACAAGATTCCAGAGTGTACTGTGTGTCTTAATAAAGAAAAGAACCGAAAGAAGCTTTAACAAAAAGTGGTCCTAGTATATAGTTGAATCGTAATGAGACACAGATAAACATAGAAAGTTTGCATGATGGAAAGTAGTAGTAATAATAAGGAATCTCAGAGAGACACAATGCATAAGTGTTGAAGGGTAATGAAGTATAATGCATTAATGCAAAGTGGTTTATGAAAAAACAACCAGAGAATGACAAAGCCAGAAATGACTCGTTGCCGCGTGGTTCAGAAACTCTTCTATGCTTAAAGAACAAAAACAATAGTAGGTGTAACATGCATTTCCACTTTTTCGATCTTTTCACTTATTTGTTTATATGTGAAGGTGTTTTTATCAAAAACAATGAATGCTTGTTTTGGAATGTGATAACAAGAGCAATGATAGAAGAGAATGAATGGTTGATAGACGAAGGAAGAGAAGGTAGGTTCATAAATTTACTCATTTCTGGGTCTTGGATTATTTGATTCATGAGTTCTTTGCATTACCTTCCATTTACGTGTAAATGGTGGCTAAAAGATAATGTTTAATCATATATTATATTATGTTAAGTGTGTTTTGTTAATTGTATGATATAATAATTGTTTTACTGTCGGCCACTTCCACCAGATATTATAGGGTTAGTTACATTATAAGAGGACGTTTGTAAATTGAATTTGATCGATTCGGATGGAAAGGGACATTTGATTTAATTTTAATGTTTAATTACTTTGAATTTGAATTTAAATATGATTTAGATCATTTTTATTTTTCTTTAAAAAAACTGAAATATAAAATAAGTATAATAACAGTCAGTTTAAAATATTTATACCTTATAGCATAAATCAATTGATATAGATATACAAATCAATATATTTCATTTTAGATTCAATTTATCGAATGAAAAATTTTATAATGATCACCGTAAGAAAATTCATTTATTGAAGAAAAAATGGGCGTTAATATTCTCTGTTAACATGATATTTTTCTAATAAACTATTATTTACGTAGACTTGTAATATCTATACTTGTGCCTTAATTTTTACTAAACAAAAGATACCAATAGAAACTAATTCAATGTCAAATATTTTAACTTTTTTTTTGTAGTGGTTTCTAACATTTTTTTAATAGAACTTATTGTTTGATATAGAATACACAATTATAGAAAGAAAATAAGATATTAAAAGTAAATTTTCAACTGATTTAGAATTAATAAATGTATAGATAACATTAAAGCAATAAGATTTAATTTATATAATGAAACTACAGTGAAAATGAATTAGTATTGTAGTTTAATAAATATCTCATAAAGCAGATAAGCAGCATATAGATGGTAATTTCATATAGGTCTGCGTGATTTGAAATGGATTTAGGATACATTTGAAAATGTAGCTAAATTAAGTGTTAATGAACTTTCATTATATGTGAAATTATATCATGTATTTTATATAGTTTTTTTAATAAATTAAAAAACTTTATCACCTATTTATACTTGTGTGTTGTCACTTTTCCTTCAAATTAAATGTGTACATCGTTGGTATAAGTTCTACTTTTGAGCCCTTTAAATTTCTCAATATGAAGTTCATATCTACAACTACTTATAATGTATTGTCGCCTCCAACTAAAGCGTAGCAAAAGACAAAGGAAGCTAATTTGACATGGTAGGAGCTAGGAGAGTACACTTTACTGAATCCTTTAAGTGATTAAAACTTTGAATGAATAGTGTCAACTATATATGGTGACAAAGAATCACGAGGGAGGATTAGATGACCCCAACGAGGAACAGATTGCTTAACAACATAATCTTAAACATAGTTAAATTATTAAAAAACCCAGTTCAGAATTGCATATTAGCATAATGTATATACCAGTAGCAAATAGACCAAATATAGAAATCAAGTAACGTGAGAGTTTCTACCTAGCTAATTGCTTACATGTGTTTTGGATTTGTTTGTTTTATCTTGTTTCTTACATATTGTCGAATCATTCTGCTTGTTTAGTTTCTTATTGTCAATGGTTTTTTAGTACAGACAAAGATTCACGATCAGTGTCATTAGGCCATTAATTAAATTATTAAAATTTAGAAGAGCCATAGCTTTCCAAAACGTATGTCAATTCTTCTCCTGATTCGGTTAAATAATTATGGCCAACTCTCTTCTATAAACTTGTTCATACAAAGAGAATTATTTAAACCTGTACAAAGAATATTTTCTTTATATTTTTAGCTGATATAGTACGTATTAATTAACACACTCCTTTATATTTTTACATTTAAAATAAAAACTAAACATTTGCGTGTAATTCAATGTTCAAATTAGATAAATCTTGATATTATATTATAAAATACGACTTAATTTACTCTTAAAAGTTATTTCACAGTGAAAGATTGATTAAATATAAGAACACTTTAACATTTTGTTCTTTTAAGGGTTTAGGGTTTCTTTAAATGCAAATGGATGTACGCTAGCTCGGGTCCTTTCGTCGTTTCTGATTGGAAGAATGCAAATCACATCTTTACTAGGTATAGATGGCTACCCTGCCAACCCACATGCGTCTCTGATTAGTTCACACGATAATTAAGTTTACATAACTTTTAACATTATATATATATATATATATATATTCTCATATTAATGTAAATCTAAAAAATTTTACACTAAATTAGATGTAATTTTGATCTCATATTTTTTAGAGATAATTAAGTTTTTCAACTTTTAAAATTTGAGAAATTTAGTTTCTGTCAATTTTTTCTACTTAAAACTATAAATCCTTATTTTAAAAATATATTATAAATTATTTTATCTTGTATTTAACTTAACAACTAAAAGATTAAATTTTGCTTAAAGTTAAAAAAATCTTTAAAAAAATTTCATGTTCTAATTTCATTATAAATATTATAAAATTTTGGTGGAAAAAAACTTAGGATTTCAAGTAAAAAAATTTGATAAGAACCAAATTCACATAATTTTAAGAATAGAATAATTTAATTACCTTTAAAAAAACTTAAAGAAACAAATCGTACATAGTCTAAACTAAAGATAATAAGTGTAATTAAAGAAAAAAATTATAATAGTTTAACTTATGAAAAAATTAATTAAGAGAGTTTATGAATAAGATTGGATCAACTTTTAGACAAAATTTCTTTCAATTGATCATAAAATTATATTACAGGTGATTTGGATCGGCTTATTTTTAAAATTCAATTAGATTTTTTATAATTTTAATATTTATAAAGTATTAAATAAATCATGTTATTATTTATTTTAAATTATTTTTAAATAAAAATAGTATTTTACATAAATAAAAATTTATATAAAAATATATGATATGTTAAAATAACAGGATATATTTGTAAAGTTCTAAACAAAATGTAATTTTATCAATATATTTTTTTATATGTATGATTTGAATTAAATCAGTGTTTGAAATGAGAAGCAAAATCAAATATAACACAAAAAAATTTAATTTTTGTGATTTTTAATTTTCTTTTTTCTCATTATTTCCTTATTACTATTGAATGCCACGACAAAACTCTTTGGCATGAAAAGGAAACGAATCTAAATAATTGATTTTGGACCCCAAAAGTTTGAAGGACACTTGCCAGACTACACTTCCACCGTCCTCTCTTGTTAGTTCTTTGTTGGAATTATGTGATAATGATTATTGACCACTCCTCTGTCAAACCCATTTATAGATCAGTGGCTATGTATTATGAAACTTCTAAATATATTATAAACAAATTAAAGATATAAAATTTTAAAATTTATATCATTATAAAATTAATAAAATTAAGTAACAAAATTGATTGTGAAAAAGTATATGAGAATAATACGAATTTTGATTAAAAAATAAGAAAAATAATAAATTTATAATTTTTAGTAGAAAAAATATGCCTTCTGCATAAAATTAAATATATGTAATTATTAATAATTTTGACAAAGAATACGGTAAATAATGGATTAAATACTATAAATTTTCTAAATATAAATATTTTAAAAAATTGAATGTTTATTAAAATTAATTTTCATAAAAAATCTAAAAATTTATATAAAGTGATAAGGAAAAGTTTATTAACAAATTTGATCTTCTAAATTTAGAATAAAATTAACAAAATTGTGAATAAAAAACAAAATGAAAGGAGAAAGATGAGCAAGAGAAATAATAAAAGAAAATAGTAAAATAAATTAAGAGTATGTTAAAAAACTATTATTATTATTTAGTCATATTATCAAAATAACAATTACACTAATTTAATAAAAATAATAATAAGACAAATTAATTATATTTTTATAGTTCAATAAATACTTAATTAAAAATATAAATAATAACTATCATATTATATCTATCTTTATTTTTATCCTCATCATCAAACACAATTTAGTGTGAAGCAAAATGGTTAAATTAATACAAAATCTTCATTGCAAATATCTTAAGATTTATGAGATTTCAAATCATACACTAATTCATCCTATTCATTATCTCCACAAGCTTTTCACTAATTTCAAAAGTTGTATACCTGCTACCCTAAGAATGGTTCCTAATTTTTAACTATATATGCTCGAACAAGATTCCAAGAACTTGGATAAAATTTAAAATTGACAATCATAGGATTACATTTATACGTGGAGAAAAAGAAACAACAAAAATGTACCATCAATAATTATTGAGTCCTTTCATATCCAAATTGGTCATCTCTTTTGTATATGAAACTATTTTCTCCACTGTTACACACCTTGATGCATTGAAAAACAACCTTATCGCTTAAATAGTTGCACTCGTGTCTATTAATCTTCCAAGCAAATCAAATTGGGCATCATCATCGTTAAAAGAAATATATTTTTAATAATAATAATTTTAATCCTTTGAAACATTATCTTAAAATAATAATAATAAAGTTAAATATATTTTTAATTCTTTAAAATACATCAACTTTTAATTTTTGTTCTTATAGAATAACTTCTTTATTTTAGTTTTTATATTTTTAAAAATTATTCATTTTAATCACTCTTATTGATATAATTTCATAAAAAAAAAGTATCATTAAAAATTAACATATAGCAACGTATGAATTATTTCACTATCATTTATTAGTGACAATGAATTAAAATTAATAATTTTTAAAAAAAATTATAGAAACTAAATTTGAAATTTAGTGTATTTTAAAAAGATTAAAATATACTTAATACTTAATAATGTAATATTCATAATTAATTTTGCTTAATTATAAGTTCCGCGGGAAAAAGAAAATATTTATCGGAAGAGTCATTCGTTGCTTGCTACTGCTAAGAGGTTTATCACATTGTAATGACTACAGTGTTACATATTATATCTTTTTAAAAATAACTGTCTCAATTTTAAAATAAAATTATTATAATTTAAGTATTTATCAGAAAAGGAAAATATAATTTTCCAAGAAGAAAAACCATAATAATAATTGTTTATGTATTTCTTCCTTGTAGCTTTTCCTTATAGAAGATATTTTTTGAGAGAAAAAATCAAATTATTTAATGACAATATTAAAGTAAATTATACGCTTTTTTAAAGAATTACATTAATTTTCTTCTGATTTAAAAGTTAGATTATCATCTCTTCAGAATGTAATATATGTTATTATTATTATTGAATGCATGTGGTACAACAATGTCATCGTTAAATTTGGTTAGGATGTAATGTTACATAGATTTTGTTAGGTACGTGACCCCACTTGCATGTGCTTTAAATTATTACCAAATGTACACACTGCACTCTTTATCCTTTTCTCGGATCTTTCCCATAATTTGTGGAAAGTTATTGTTTGTGCTACTAAAATTATATAGTTTTTGGGTCCTTTTTTATACATTTTTTTAAAAAATAGAGTAAAATAATAAATTATTTAAGTAAAATTTTAGATTCAAAGTTTTTATATATATATAATTTTTTTAATAATAAATTCACATTAAACTAGATTCAAAATAATAATTCTTAAACAAATCCCTTCAGCATACATGTATGTCATTGACATTACCTAATCAATCATTGTCTTTTGCTGGTGTGTGGTACATCATACATGGACTCAGGTTCACAAAATTCACAATGTGTCTTGGGAAGACCAGAAAGATAAGCAAAAGCTAACCGCAGTTTCTAGGATTTTAATTAAATAATTTAAAATATAAAAATTTATTAAAGATTATTATTAATGTATTTTTATTACCTAATTTCAATGTATCTAATGATGACCTGCTGAAATTTTTCCCAACTAAGTTTGACCCTGAACCTGTACATATATCAACGGTCTTCAGGCCCGAAAGCTGAAAGCTGAGTATGTGCCAATATCATACTAAAGTAGACTGCACACACCTGAAAGGTATATATACATTGGCATCTACTTTTAGTTGTTTAAATCACTAAAAATTATTATTATTATCTTTTGTCTATCAATTTTTTAATATACGCATATTTAAAAGAATATACTCAACATGAATCAAAAAGCACATATGGGTATTTATTTTTTACAATCTTTTTAACTTATATAATATTCTATATGATAATAAGTTATATGTAGTAAATTTGTATTAAAAAGTATAGAACTGAATACATTAATACTATTAAATTTTACATTTTCTAATATATCACACACATGTACAATGTTACAAAAATTGTACTTCTATTCCAAGAACAAAGATACTTGTTAGAAACCAAGTACGGCTAATAACACCCGGTCAACACACAAAAAATGATGGAAACTAATTTCCTAATTCAGTTTTGTTTTCTCCTTTTCTTCTGAATTGTTTTTTTTTTAAATTAAAATTTATATTAAGAGATATAAGACCTGTTTGATGTTTTTTTAATTATGTTATTAATAATTAAAAAAATGGAATATTATTTTCACTTTATTTTATGTTTTAAATATCTAGTTCTCACCATTTTTTATATAAAACTCTCTCTAAACATAAAATAAAACAAAAATAACATGGCATAATTATAATTATAAACAAAAGGAAAATGTTAAACATGTTAAATTTTCTTGTGTTGCGAACAATGACCTTTTTGAAAACACTAATCAGATTTCACCAATTACTTAAATTACTTCAAACAGTTAAATATCCATTTTTTTCCCGCCTGATATGATAACTTGCCCAACATAGATTTAGATGGGTTATTAGTAAAGCTATTAATCAGCATATTGCAGAGTTTCCACCTATTTAGGCACATGCTTGTATGCATAGAACCAAAGTAGAGTTTAGATACCTCATCATCTATAGAACTTCTGAACATAGACCAAAAGCTAAATGCAAAATTGCTTCCTTAAATAAGTAACATTGTGATGAGAAACATTACAAGTACACCAAGAGTTTAGCAAAATAACACTTGGGCTGTTGAACAAACGCCCCAATGTGGGACAAAAAGGGTAACGCTGTGAATGCAGTTTCAAAGGGTTTTTGGAACATTTATACCTACTATGTTAGCATCTTTCCTTTTTTTTGGGTCAACATGTTAGCATCTCTCTTGAACATTGAATGAAGTCACAAAAAGGGTACCACTACCATCCATGAGCCATCCCAGCTCTTGCTTTCATGCATCCTGGTCATTCCAAAGTCCCATCACCCTCAAAGTATCGATGGTCTAAGCCTTAGAATCATAGTTACCACTATTGCTCTAAGTATTCAATGGATTATGCATTAGCATCATAGTCACCACGATACCTCAAAGGATTCAATGGACTATGGTTATGCTAAGTTTAGAGCTTTATCAACAACAGCATTCTCTATGCACAAAGCACCATTCATCTAATATCAAGTTTGCTTTTTTCTGAAGACACCCCACAAATAATACTTGGCTTGAAATCCTGCCCAAAGGATAACTCAAATTTCAATATAACATTAAGTACAATAAATAATTAGATCAAAATGTGCCATAGAAAAGCAAGAATAAATGAAGCTTACTCCAATATTGTATTGGAAGCACCGTAGAAGGGAAAATTAAAAGCTCTGCATTTTCAGCCATAAATCTTAAGGCAAGTTCAAGCTGAATGATATGATCAACCAACACATCAAATACCTTTTCGGCTCTGTAGGGGAACAAATATTTAGATAAATCAAATTAAAGAATGAGCACAGTAACATCACATAAAAATTGTCGAAGAAATCACCTTTCACTGTCAGGAAAGAAAAAAAGGGCAATGCTCTTATCGGTTGGCCCCCCATTCATGAAACCTCTAGGCCACACCATAGATCTGGGAAGCAATTCAGCATGAAGCACATCTGGGATGAGTACTGTCTCCTCCACAACTTTGGAGCATGCTAAATTGGACAAATGGGCCAGAAGTCCACTGACAGTACCAATAGTTTCATCACACAAGTACAAACTTCCCCTATTAAACAGAAAATCCAACTTAGAATGATATTCACCAAAATAGCTATAGAAGATCATCAATTCCAAACAAAGGTAGCAAAACAACTTTCATACCTCCAGATTGGATCAATGATAGGCTGTGCATCAACATGACCATCTAATTCTATACAAGTTAAATCATTGGTTGTAGCTCCTTGAGAAGCTGGAACACATTTGGAACCTAGATCAGAATTAGTTACTTCCCTTGGAGCTGGTCCACACTCATTTTTTAACTTGCTTACTTCTTCACAGGTTATACTACGTTGAGGATGCTCAAGCTCAGATAAATTGCGACTATCAGCTGACAGGTTCTTTGTTTTAGCAACTAAGCCAGAGTTAACTTCTCCTTTCTTCTGCTTCTCTTCAATCTTCCTTTTTTGCTGTTTATTGCTTTTTTTCAATTTCTTTATGTACTTTTTTAGTTTACTTCTGGCTTGGATTGCATTCTTTTCCAAATTTTTGGAGTTATTTGTTTCAGATAAGAGAGGTTTAGATTGGTCAAGAGAAGGTGGCACTACTAGCTTTGCTTCACAATCTTCACAAAACCATGTAACATCATCAGTAAAAATCACAGGCCCGTCTAAACAGTACCTGAAAAAAAAGGACAGTTAAGAAGTCACAGGCAAATTGAAGCCTTAAGAACTTGAATTTACAACTTTAAATTAAAAATTTTCTATTTTATAAACCATTGGCAGAAAATTTCGGATTGAATTTCAAGTTCAGGGTACTAATACACTTGTGTTGCATATCTATTCAGTAATCATTTGGTTTACCCAAACCCAACTATAATGAGTGCACTCCCAAGTCTCACCTTCAATACCAAAAGAAATTTTAAGATCATCTGATAGAGACTTCATCAGCTCCGTATGATGGTAAAAAGTATACAAGTAAATCATAATTTTAAAAGCATTTTTATTATAATTAAAAAACATATCTATGCTTTACATACATATACCATGCATACAAAAAATAACTACATATTATGGTAAAATCACAATCAGGGTACTAATATCAAACAGATCATTCCAATTATATTTTGGTTTGTCCAACAGTAGAAAGTACATCCCCACCTCCAATACTCAAACAGAAATTTTAAGGAAATGTTCAAATGACATTAGTTGTCATGGCATCTGCAGCAATATGATGATAAAACATGCTATAAGTGCATTCATGAAGGCAAAGAGAGGGAGTAAACAATAAGTACCTATGCAGAGCATAAGCCTGACACTTGGTGCAAAAAACCAATGCCTCTGGAAAACCTCGATGGCCACACTGGAGACAAAAAGTTTCCTACAACACAGGTACAGAGTTTTACTGAAATGGTTCATTAGAGCAAAAGTCCACCTCCAAATATGCACTCTTTTATAAAAGATTATAACAGATGGATGCATATAAAAGCTGTATCATAACAAGGCTTATCTTTTTGAGTCAAGTAAGTGTTGATGGAAAAAAAAATTCCAAACGCTAACAAAACTTGCCCCAATTCATGCTCCAATATTTTTGCAAGAGATCAGAATATAAACATCTATCAGCAGAAATCTCCAAATGGTAGCCAAACCAATAGTTCTTCAGATGTTATGAAGTTAAATCAACCACCAGCAGAATTGTTATTGTTAGTTTGTTTGTACAATTGGATAATCCAAATCCGCCAAAACCATTAAATTAAACCAAAAATGATACACCAGACTCACCAGAAGCAATCATTTATAAATTATAATTACAAAATCATTGTGTAGGCCAGCATGCATAGCTCTTAGCATTTACCAATTATTATGAGAAAACCATGGAGCAGGATGAAGTAAACAACATCGCAGCAAAATCAATAAAAGAAAAGAAACTTAAATCACCTAAAACCACTTTCCTTGTCGTTTAACCAGAGAGAGGGCGAGAGACCCATTAACCAAACACACTAAAGTTCCAAAATTTATTCATAAAATCACCATTTTCACAGCCCACAAAAATGGAAAAAAAAAAAAAAAAAAGGAAGAAGAAGCTGACCATTGTGTTGTGAGAGGATGAAGTAAGAGAGAGAAGATCTGTTCGATTGTCCTTTATCAGTTACCGAGAACAAAATAGAAGCCAAGCCAAGGCGCCAAGCATGTCTGTGTAAACCCTGACCCACAAAAAATTATCGGGTGATCCAGGAGTATGTAGGTTTACCCACTTATAGTAAGACACGTATGAAAATTTCACCATCTATTAAAATAATACAGTGTTTTGCTGCGTGAGTGGCTGAAAATATATGCTCGGGACCACTGAAATTCTCCCCAACTACTCCAAAACACAACTGCAAACATTAGCCTTTTTGGCTCCTCACTCACTTTGTGCAGCGTTTGTACAACTGGTGTTGTTTGTTATTTTATTTTATAACCATTTTTTTAGTTAACCAATTGATTAAAAAAATAGATCATCTTGGGGACCTTGGAATGGTTTAAAAATTGGGAGTGAACGCCCATTGTTTATACAAATTGATTGGGATGGGTTTAGTTTTATATCTATTCAATCTAAAAATTTGATAGAGATGTTTATTTGAATATATATGCAATTTGATTAAGATATCAATAATATATGAAATATTATTTTAAAATAGTTAGATCACTAAATTAATGAAATATAAACTTAAGTAAAGTACATGTTATAATATATATTTTAAAATAAATAATAGTAATATAAATAAATATATTTCCACGTTATGCAAAATGGTATGTGATTATTAAAAATGTAAAATTAACAAAAAATGGGGTCAAGTTAGATAACTTGAAGTATAACCTGAATACAATTTTAAAACACGGCAAATCTAATTTAAAAAAATGCAAACTCATCAAAAGTAACTTCAAGCAAGGTCAAGCTGATAGGAGTAACGGGTAGTATCCCTACTTCTCTTATGACTTTAAATATTTATAAAATTTTATTAAAATGTAAAAATATCTTATTATGTTTTTTTTTTTAACACATGACTTCATTTTTAAGAGGAAAAACTAGTTCAACTGAGCAACAATATCAGGATAGTAACGTATCTACATTTTGGAAGTTATTTGATGCTGTCATGAAAAGTGAAACATATAAACAATATGCCTGACACAAAAGTGCTAAATTTGTCTTACTCAATATCACATCATATCCAGTTTGGGTGTAAATCTCTCTGCTAATTTTTAGTTTGTCTCCTAACTTGAACCCCTCGGTTGTTCTCTGTCAAGCTAGTTGCTTTCTTGGAATGTATTACATATATGCACTACATATTTTCAGCATCAACGAATCATAAACAATTAATTGACTCTATTTGACATTTTATATTACCAAATAGTGCCCCTTGTGTCATCATGCAGTTGTGTTCTCAGCCAATCCTTCTTCCACACCAACTTAATGAAGAATTTGATAACCATGATCCTCCCAGATTTGCTTCTTACGATTCACTTGCCAAAAATGGACTGATTTTAAACAGCACATTTTATTGACTGAATTAAAAGCTGGAGATGGCAGAGCCTTTTCTGAAATTAAATATATGCATAGATAGAGCGTGTACTTAAACCTGGTCATCAAAATAGTAATGATCTGATGCAGCAGTTGATGGTCTTCATTTATCAATTGTGCAATCACACAAGACTTAAAATAAGAATCAACACAGATATGAGATACTTGATCCACGTTGAAAAAGTATGTGATTCTATAATTGTAATATGGGTAATGAAAATTAGTTATCACATTATAAGTCACATCACCATCATTTAACACTTCTTGTAAGCAATGTAAGGTGACATAACTTCCATAATTGAAGAAAATGTGCCTCAACCTGGCTAAAACAACTAGCAAATAATAGGAAATTAAATGGAAATTCCCAAACAGCTCTTGTTCAAGCCAACTTGAATCTCTAGATGCAAGCTGTCTACTCTTCACAAGTTTGTTTTCTGACAGTGATAGTTTGTTAGTTCTTTGTGAAGCCAGTTACAAAACCTTACAATATGCTTTTCGTGGTTGAAATTTGTTTGAAAGGATGTCCATTCATGTTCATGATGTTATCCTAATGATAGGTCCATCTTACTGAGTCTACATGAGATCAAATGGTCATTGGTTTCAAAGTCTAGAAAAGAAGCCAGTGACAAAAACCAAAAAGACTTGGTTGCCAATTTCAATTGGATATTGTTATTAAACAAGAAAACAAGAACTCTTCCTTATGCCTAAAAGCAATATAAGATCTGTAATCATATACATTCCTTAGCGCAATGATTTCTCACAAATCAAGAATCTAAAATAATCTGAACATCAATGTACAAATCTTAGTAAAACTGGCTCCTAGGAGTCATATATGGACCCTCGTCTGTACTGATCCAGTCCCCAACAACATTTTGTGTTTCAGGTGTATCATTTGGACAAATAGGCCTAATTCTCACCCTTGGTTTGTTAGGAGGCAACATTGGAGGTGGGGCTTCCTTCTTAAGAATTCTAGCTGCTTCTCTTACTCTGGGTCTTTTCTCATAGTCAGGGTGCACACAAACAAGCCCCACCAGGAGTATCCTTTCCATCTCAAGTGCATCAAACCTTCCACTCAATCTTGGATCGGCAGCATCAATGAGTTTGTTTTTTTCCCACAAGTTCCACACATAATCAGCAACCACAGTGCCATCATCTTCTACAGGCTTCCTCCCCGTTGCCACTTCTAACACCACTACTCCAAAGCTATACACATCAGTCTTTACAGTAGGAACACCAGAATAAACATATTCAGGAGCAAGATACCCCATTGTTCCTGCAGGTATAGTAGCATCCCTTGTGCTACAACTATGTTCATACACTTCTGCAAGTCCAAAATCCCCAAGCTTCGCATTGAAATCTGCATCAAGCATTATATTGCAAGTCTTCACATCTCTATGAATGATTTGCCTCTCACATTCTTCATGAAGATAGGTAAGAGCAGAAGCAACCCCCAGAATTATGTTAACTCTTTGCTTCCATGAAAGTACAACTGAAGAATTGAAGTTTCTATGAAGAACTTTATTGAGGCTCCCATTGGGCAAGTACTCATAAACCAGGACCAGCTCATTCCCCTCACAGCACCATCCCTTAAGCTGAACCAAATTCTTGTGCCTCAAGTAACCCACCATTGTTGCAAATTCAGTTGCAAAAGGGTTGTGCAAACAGTCTAAATCATTAACGCTCTCAAATCTCTTCACTGCCACAACTCCTCCAAGTGGAAGATACCCTTTATAAACCTTTGCTGATGCACCTTCCCCAACAAGTCTATTTTGATTGAACCCCATTGTGGCTGATTTGATCTCTGAAAGTGACAATCTGGTTGGCACTTTAGTTGTCTGAAATCTACAACTTTGCCCGTCCCTAATCTGTCTTAAACCACCCTTTTTCTTTGTCAAGAAAACACACACTGCCACAGCAGCTATCAAACCTGACACCAGAAATGATGTTAACCCTCCCAATCCAAGAGCCATCTCCCCAACTCTGTTCCTCCTTTGATGCCCATCATTGTGCTGATTTGATGCTCTTGAATCCCCAGCATAACACAAGAAACAGTCTCCTTCTTCCACCATGTCAATAGGACTCACTGAAGGGGAATACCCATAAGTTTTAAACTGCCAATGATGAACAAGGTGAACACCTGAACCCTGCCCATTAGAGGCAGAAAAACCAACATGCATGAAATCCTTAAACTTCTCAGAAAGGTCAATTTGTGAAGCAAGAATTGGAGTTGTAGGCCTAGTTGAAGAATAACCAACCCACACACGAACCATCTTCATGGCATCCCTATACTCTACCCAAGCAGTGATCATTTTCCCGCTCTTGAGGTCAATCCCACGTGACAAAGCATCCACAGAAGCAAAAGACACGACACTGTTAACATCAATCCCAACATGGTTTCCATTAAGGTCACCAAGTGAAGGGTCCAAACTGGTGTCAAATTCCACAGCAAAGTATGAAGCTTTTTTGTCCAAAACGTGTGAGGGAAGACCCATGTAACCTTTAGAAAGTGTTGCAAACTCGGTAGTTGAGGCTATGAGAAAGGCAATGCCATCACCTGAAGAACAAGAAGGAGATGATGAAACGATTGAGAAAGAGAAACGGCCTGAGAAAGAAACAGTGGAGTTAGTTTCAGGATCAAGAAAGCGAACTGGGTAGACATAGAAAGCTCTTCCTATCCCTGATGATGATGAAGAAGAAGAGAAAGGGCACGTGGATTGTTCTTTGGTGAGAGTGATACCGTTGTTGCTGAAGAAAGCGTCACCATAGAGTGTGACGTTGTCTGAAGGCAAGAAAGGGAGAGAAAGTAAGGGGTGGGTGAAGAGAAAGAAAAGGAACCATAAGAGTAGAAGAGAGTGATAAGACATTGTAAAAGAAAGGTTCTTGAGAAGAAGTAGTGATGATTGTTTTTGAAGAATATGGTTTCATGGTAACGGGGAAAGTTAGTTGTGGTCGTTGAAAGCTCGTGAGTCAGAAAGAGAATGGCGTTTGACTTTGAGGACACTGTGTAAGAGTTCTTGTCTTTTGGAAAAAAAGAATTATTATTTGATAAATCTGTGGAGGAACAGAGATACCAAAAAAGAGAGAGAAAAGAAAGAAAGATAAAAAATAATAATATTATTGGTTGGTTTATTATTTTATACAGATCTTCATGAGAAATGGAATTTGGATGTCTACACACCGCACTCATATTTATACATGTAGATACTTTCATTTTCCTTTAATTCAGGAAAATTCTAGAACGTAATTGAAGTAAAAATAAATAAATAATTTTAATGTATATATTATATTTTTATATGTATTAAATAATATATATATATATATATGTATATATCAGAATCTATTAATATTAAATGTTAAACTTGAACATTTAAACATTTAACAACTTTTTACATAATATAAAATTAATCGATCCAACTATTGATTTGAAATTTTTTTTATTAAATATCCTAATTTTAATAAATTGTATATAAAAATAAAATTAATAAATATTCAATCTATTAATTTATTTTAACATATATTGTATTTTTAAAATATAAATAAATATAAAATTTTGAATAACATAATTACAAATATTCAAATTATGTATAATCTAATACAGATGATAAAAAAATAATATAAGATAATTATTAATATTACATTTTATAACAAAATATTAAGTAGTATAAATGTGTAAATTTAACGTATGATAATAATAATGTTAGTGAATCCTAATTTATATATATAATCTGTAAAAACAAATGAGAGGAAAGTTTAATTGTAATTTTTATCCGGATATTTTAACATATGTATAATTTTGGTCCTTTAATTTTAATTGCTCACATTTAACTCATAATTTTTTGAATGTTCAAATTAAATACTTCTCCCAAATTAAGACTTTTATTATATTTTGTATATTTTATTTTACTTTTTATATGAATTAATTAAATGTCACACCTACATTATATTTTTACTAATTATTAAATAAAATTTTAAAATGAAAGACTTACTAAGTTAAGTATTTATAAAATTAGAGAGAGTGGTTGGTAACGGGGTCGTTTTGGTTGGCAACGTATCCTTTAGCCGCATTTGGAGATTTCTTGAATTTTGTCATCAGCCGGTGAATTTTATTTATTTGTTATAATTTAGAAATATGGAAAGAAAAACTTAATTAAATAATATGACAAAAGAAAGTAATATTCTGAAATAATATAACTCATCTCACTTGGATGCATATCCATCAAAATTTTCACAGTTTTTCTTGCCCAACATTGAAGTTAAAGAGACAAAAGAATAACTTGAGTACACTTCTAGAAAGTCATTATAAAAAAGTATAAAATAAATAAAACTCATCTTGTAAGGTAAAATAATTTATCCTTTCAATCTTTAAAAAAGTTAAATTGAAAAAACTTCTAGAAAAATACACAAATATAAAGCATTTTTAATTTATGAAAAAATATTTTTTTATACTTATTTTTTTTTCTTATAAAAACTTTGAAAGTTTAACCAGCATCTACCTTTGGTCATGCACTCATTCCACATTTCTTTTGGTCCAAACTTCCACATTTAACTGCTTAGCCATTACATTATTAATATATTTTAATAAAATATTAAAAATATAAAATATAATATTTTAATATATTATTTTAATATGTTTTGCGAAATAAAACAGCTATGGAGAATTGTAACACCAGACAGTTTAGACTGGATCTGTAAATAAATGACAATGCATTCAAGCTGAAAAAAGTATATGTAAATGAATTAAGTAATGGATGAGACTAGCAGGAGAGGCAAATAGATATTCATTTCCTTCCATAGAAGAAGCAGCACATATATATTAGAAGAAATATACAGCAAATTTTTAAGGTATTTTCATAATTTAAAGCTACTTACACAAAATATTGTAGACTTAGTATCAATGATTTGTAGCCTATTATTCATGAACAGCAAAAACACTGTAAAATGCAATTTACTTACCCTTGAAAACATGAATGCGATTACATATCCTCATGGTTGCATCATTAGAACCAGTTCATTTTTTTCCCTAAGGGACCAAGTAAAATGAAATGGAAGAGTGAAAATATCTAACACAAATAACAACATTTAACAAAAAATCACCGAGATGAACAGAAATTAATACCATCAAGGGTATAGTCACCACAGGTTACTCTACGGCTATGACCAGTAAATGTATTTAGCAAGGAATATTTATCTGTATTCCCCATCCTAACAGTGAATAGTTATTGAAGGTAAATTAGTATAGGAATTATCTAAAAAAAGATAATTTTTAAACTCATTATAAGTTTATTAAATGACTTAGATATTATTTTTACCTTAATTGTGTTATTGGTTTACACTTGTTCTTTACTGATTTTGTTTTAACAATGAATTTTTTTATGAATAATTATTCTTCAATTAATATTTTGATTAAATCTAACTTTAACAATAAAAATAAATCCACAAGAATTTTTTTTAGGAATTTAAGATTCTGACATGATATTAAAAGTTAAAAAAAAAAACCTATTAAGTGAGAAAGTTGAATTATTTTAATTTGATGTTATTAAGAGGATTGTATCTAAACATTTGTTTAATGAATTGCTCAAAGGAATTTTTTATTGCTCTACAAAAGCATTATTAAGTATATGATAACTTTGAATTCGAATATTTAATTAAACAATTGATTGTCACTTATAATAATGTTAGAGGTATTAGAGAATCAATTTTAAAGATTCTTTATATGCAAGCCAATTTTAAAGACACGTTCAACTAAATAAAAAAGTTATTCTCACGTCTTAGATTATTTACTTATTTTGTTTTTGTGTATTTTCAGTTTAATGTTCTTGACTGTCATAAAATTGACAGGGTTTCTACAACCTCTATTGTTATATTTTCACAAGGCTTCAAAACTATAAGAAAATTTTTAAATATTAAATTAAATTAAAAAAAAATCAAGCGACTTCAAGTACTTTTTTTATGTTAAATATTTATTGTTCATTTAATATTAATTTAGAATTTTAGTTTTTTATCATTTTTAAATTAAAAAATATCTCTTTATTTAAAGTAATACATTATTTATTATTATAATAATTATTATTAATGTTTAGTAATATTTTAAATTTATAAATAAAATAACTAAACAATAGATTTTTATTATTTATATAAAATTTATTTTAATTTATTACTGTGTATAATAATACTTATCACTATTAGAAACTCCGGAAAACGGTGACATACGATTTTGTAGGGGTTGCATTGACGCAAAATTACAAAAGCAAACCTACAACGTAAAAAACAACTAAAACTATTCCATTTTTGTAAAATGTTTCAGAACAAATTTATTTTAATAATTAATCATATATTATTTTGTGCAATTTATCCAAATCTACGAGATAAGAGAGGAACAGAAACGAAAGAGAAAAAAAAGAAAAACAAAAGCATATAATAAAGTGTATATAATTTCACTTTACTTTTGTGGAGGAAAATTTTAAGAACGTAAACAAAGGGAATTTAAAGATGAATATCTTAAATGAATAGAAAAATAATATAATTATATTTTAAAAAAATTATTAATTATTATTTTTATTTTATTATAATAATTTAATTATTATCATTACTTATATTTTTAGTTATATATAACGTTTACGTAAATAATTATACTAGTTAAAATATTTTAAATATTTTAAAAAACTACATGAAACTGTACAAAAGATTTACATATTTTTCTGATTATATTTATTTCTTTATGTTATTAGTTAAAAAGTTTGTTAGTTTTTTTTGTTTAAACAAGAAGAGTGTTGTATCTTATAATTTTTTTTTCTATGTATAGTATTCTACGTTCAAACATTATTGATCAGTTATTTTGAGTCACGTTAACAACAATACTATGTATATATTATATTATATATATATATATATTATATAATAATTTTAATTAATTGTTAGAAATTATTTTTAAAGATAAATGTATTATTAAAATAAATATAACTTTCTTCATAAATAATATATTTAAATAATTAATAATATAATTATATATATATATATATATTAATCTTTTTTTTTATAGATTGTAAATAAATTAGTAAGGAAGGACACGATTCTTCCCTCCTAAAAAAATCTTGTTTTATAATGTAACTTTTTCCTTATTTTGGTTTCATTCAATTTGAAATTCTACAGATTGAGTTATAGTTTTGTAATAACAAATCATGTTTTCTGCATTTTTGTGCATTTCTGACTCTAGATAGATTTATTCCTGAATTCTAGTAGGGAAATTTCACATCATTTGGTATCAAAGCTCAGTTTTAGGGTTGGAATGAATCTTACTATGGTAATCGACGTCTTGTTTTCTCTTTGCTGAATTTTCAATTCTATTAGTTGAAGTTGTTCCTGCTAATCTTTGTTTCGTGTTTCTAATTTTTTGTGTGCGTAATCCTTATTGTTTATGTGTCTTGTTATTTTTCATTATCACTGCAGCAATATTTGTCGCTCAAATTTTGTTTAGTTGAGTGCATAATTTTTTCTTTTTTTGTTCTTATTTGTTTTATTTTATTAAGTTAATTTTGTCTTCCCAATTTCTAGGGTTCAAGGTATACATTAGAAACCCTAATTTTCTCTTTTAATTTGAGTGTTCTTAGTCTTAGGTCCTTTTCTCTAAAGGATTAGAGAAACCTTATGACATAAGAAGGCAAAGGAACCAATTCTTGGATAACTCGTAATGTTGGCATCTGGGAATTTCCCTTGACAGAATTTGAAGGTGTGTTTGTTTCTCACAACAACAACACCTTGAATTAGTTTGCTGCTCAACTAAGAAAATTTAACTATACAATTGTTATGTTCAATCTGAATAGCAAGGAAGTAGAAAATATCTCTCCTCCTCACTATTTTGTAGGAG